TGCCGACCCTGGAGGGATGGAAGGCTTGGTGGACCGTGGGCGCGGGGATCGATTCCACGTTGTGTTTCAGAGCGCCTCTGATCACTGCGCCACACGTGGCCTGTTAGTTGAATACTTAGTAGAATTTATGATATGTTGTGTAACTGTAAAAGCTTTGCGTAGTATCATAAGTAGGATAATTCTTTTGGTGCAAACCTAGATATTCGTTCTACTTTATTTTCACTATTGTGGTTTGCATAAGAACGAATGTTCGTCTATGTCACCTGTAGTCCCGTTGATCGTCGAACGGCTCGAGCGGGGGCCAGTAAATCTTCCATTTTTCCCTGTTGCGTGCAAGAGTAGCCCAGTGGGTTTTTCTTCCTCTAGGAACTCGTTAAGCATCATATCTTTCTTCTAGGCTTTTCGTGAAGAACTCTGACGATCGGGTCGGTGGTCTTCCTGCAGTACGTTTGACATCCCGAGGAATCTAGTCGCTAACGGCTCTTGTCCATCGGTGGTCGTTTGTACGCATTACGTGTGCCGCCCACCTTATCTTTGACTGTTCGGCTTGCAGAACGGCATCTTTGATTCTTGATCGTTGACGAAGGTCGAAGCTTCGGATCTCTTCCCTTGTGTGAAACGAGATACTCGTAGCATCGTCCTTTCGACTGCGCGTTCAATAACGCTGAGTGATCTTTCATCTTGCTTACGCAGCGACCAGGTTTCTGACGCATACGTTAGGGCAGGAAGTACCGTTGAGTCGAAAAGGTGGGCACGGAGTTGGGTGTTCTTTGTTCTCTTCACTACATCCTCGATACTCTTGAAAGCTCCCAAACCGCTCGTTTCCTTGTGCTCAGTTCTGGAGCTCAGTTGTTCATCGTGTTGATTTTCCGACCTAGATAGACATAACTGAAGCATTTGGAGATATTCATTCGATTCGAGAAGATGGCTCACTGAGGAAGACCTGACTCGACACGAAGGCGAAGCTGCAACGTCGAGACGAATAACAATCATGGACCATCGACTCGGACCATCGGCTTTGAGGAAGACGAAGACGTCGAAACGTTAGCCGAAAATAAATATATTTATCAACCTCGTGCAAGCTTATCAGGGAAGAATACATATTGATTAGTCACACCGAGGTTTAGAGAAAGTCGGTTTCGAAATATTATTACTACGCTTTGTGCTAGCTGATAAAAATACCGACTTCTGCATGATGTGCGCAACGATGTATGCCCGGAAGAAATACAAGCTGTTACCACCGGACATTATCATTATATATCCACCATCAGCATCGTGTATAAAAGGGCATCACTGAGTGAGTATGCCTCATTCGATTCGAGAAGATGGCTCACTGAGGAAGACCTGGGTCGACACGAAGGCGAAGCTGCAACGTCGAGACGAACAACAATCATGGACCATCGACTCGGACCATCGGCTCTGAGGAAGACGAAGACGTCGAAACGTTAGCCGAAAATAAACATGTTTATCAACCTCGTGCAAGCTTATCAAGAAAGAATACATATTGTTATTCGTTCCGTTGAACGTGAATGGGGCACACGAAACCAATCCGTTCCTCATGAACATCGTTTTTGTGAGATTTAGCCGATGACCATTCTTTCCATAGGATTTTTCAAATTCGTCAAGCATACGTTCTGCTTGGCTAATGTTTGGTGTTGTAGGGGCGGTGTCATCAGCAAAGCGAAGATGGTGTAACTGTCGACCGTCGACTTTCACTCCCACATTATCCCATTTCAATGGTCGTATGACGTTCTCGAGGGTGCCGGTGAATAATTTTAGAGAGATGGTATCGCCTTGTTTATTTTTTGACGTCAATGTTAATGTTGTTGTAGAATGGTGATATTTTCGTTGTGAAATTTTCGTATACGTACAGCTCACGAAGAATCTTTATATATTGAGTAGGGACTCGTTGACTATCAAGGGCATCCAGGACTGCTTCTATCTCAACTAAATCAAAGGTCTTCTTTAAATCGATGAAATTGAGACGGAGCGGTCTTTTGTGTTCTCTCGATACTCCAGTATGTTTTGTTATCGTATGAATATGGGCCATCGTACTAAATCCTTTTCGAAACCCTGCTTGCTAACATGGCTGTCCTTCGCCCACTGTTCTGTCACTCCTGTTTAGGATGACTTAAATAAAAAGTTTGTAGACGACAGACAGTAGGCAGGTTGGGCGATAGTTGCCGATATCGTGCAGGTTACCCTTCTTGAACAATAACACGGTCTTGTTGGTCTTCCACTGAGTAGAAACTTTGCATTCAGACAAGTAACGTATGAAGAGTCGAGCCAGTGTGTTTGCAAGGACTGGTGGAAGGTTCTTCAGGTGTTCTGGTCTTATCCTGTCCGGCCCTGATGTTCGATTTTTCACCGGCGTAATGGCATGTCGAATTTCGGAAGGGAGAACCGGTGGTACAACATGTCCATCTTTTATTTCATATGACATATGGAAGGAGGACGTGGCTATTAAAGAGATCTGAGTGGTATTCGTGAATGATTTTCTCCGTTGCCTTTCTGAACGCTGTTACTGTTCCGTCTGGGCGTCGGAGTGCAATCATCTTGGTCTTGTATTTGGCAAAACTTCGGTGGGCTTTGCGAATGCTTTTCCCAGCCTCCGCAGCTTCGACCATTATTGCTGCTCGCCTCTTTAAGGTATTCTTTTATCGCCTGTCTGCATTGTTTTGCAAGTTCGGACGTCAGTTCGCGGTTGTTTGCAGCTCATGCGATTCCACGCTTGCGTATCAACTCGAGTGTTTCTGGAGGCAGACGTCTCTTGGTGACTTTTGAGCTCTCAGCTTTTATAGCGCTAACGTGGAGATGTTGAATGAGCCGATCGTATTCTTCGTCGATGTTATCAGCAGTGGCATCTTCCCAACAGCTGACTAATGAATAAGTCCCCGTTTGCGGTGGTTCTGGGACTTCGGTTTTGGAATTTAGCGGCTTTTTCTCCTTTCCGCGAAAAATAGAATCTTGCACGAAGGAGACGATGGTTTGATCCCGTGTAGAATTTTGGGACAACAGCGATATTGGTTAGGCAAAACCTACTGTTTACTATGATGTAATCTATTTCGTTATGGTACCCTCTATTGGGAGACTCCCACGTCTGGAGTTGAGGGTGGGGCTTCTGGAATTGCGAGTTACCATGGATGGTCTTGGTCGCCATGATAAACTCAGACAGCCGCTCACCGTTTTCGTTCCATTCTATTCTGTGGGTCCCAATGTGACGCTCTTCAGACGTTGTTCTTGGTCCAATCTCGGCATTGAAACCTCCAATGGTGACCTTGAAGAATGTATGGTCTTCTCTGTAGAACTTTTCCAAGTCCATATAGAACGCTTCGACCTCTTTTTCGTCACACTTTGATGTCGGCGCGTAAACGACGAAGATTGTCAGAGCCGCAGCTGATCCACATCTCTTCAATCGTAAACATCCGACTCGGGTTATAAGTTGCTCGATTGAATCGATGTTCATGGACAAACTCGTGTTGACGAGAACGCCGACGCCGCCAACTCCTCTACTGTCGCTTGTTCCGAAGAATGGTTCTTCTCCGGTGTCATAGACGGCCTTGGAAGGCTGGCGTCTTTTCGTTTCGGCCAGGCCGATGAAGTCGTACCTTATCATTCCTACTTCCATGAGCAAATCTTCTATCGAGGACTCGTATGTAAGTGTACGTGCATTGTAGGTACAGATCATCACCATAGTTCTTTGAAATCCAGACATCTTCCTGGCGCTGAGATTTTATCAGCGTCTCCGTACTCAACCTACCCAACGCTGCCGAATTGGGGGCTCTTTCGGAGGCAGGGGAATGGCCATTTCTTTTGCTGTTTTTAGCTTTTTGACACCCTCGTATAACTTACTGTCCTCTGAAAGTGGGGGCTGGGTATACTCACGGCTAGCTTGCTAGGCTCTGCCAGGCTGGACAGGGAACTTATTTGTTGGAGACGACTTATAACTGCCTCCCATATACTTCCCAGTCACTTGATTGCAGATTTTTGGCCGAATCGACTCATAGAATATAAACCCCATAAGAGAGAACGCACCCAAACACGTATGCATGAATACACCTAGCAAATACAGTATGTGCCAAATCGGCGCAGTAGAAACAGGGAGTCCATCTCCTGGATCCAACTGCATCTCGAGAAAGCAAAGGTCGCTTTTGGATTCCTCATATTAGAGGCCTCCGTGATGGAATGTTACTGCTTCCCAAAAGTTCACAGTGTTTTTGACTTTGAATTGATTCGTTTGCTTCAATCAAGTGGCTAACTGTAGCATCACGGTATATAGTGGTATAAGTGTGTACACGGTACGGTATATGTACCTTGGACTATGATCTAATGCTGAAATTGCACCCAGATCTTTTAGGCTTAGGTAAAGCAGAAGTAAGTATGGCCTTAAATCGGATTTCGTGGGTACAATACGGTATATGCTTCCCACTTTTTTCGGACACTCATGAGTTCACTGTACATATTTTTATACTCATCTCTTCTTAATTTGTTGGACATTGATTCTTGTTTGTGTTTTTCATTACGCCGGATTAAAGCGGCAACAATAGTTCTATTTTTCAAACCAATCGTCATTTAAACTCCGCATTAATATTCTATACCTTCTTGGATTGTTAAGCTAACACGACCTTGATAAAAGTTTACTCGACTAAAGTTGTTGACGTGAATTGAAGTTTATCATTAACGCTTTTAATTTTTTTTTATTCTTTACCAAGCTCGTGTCAACTTAATAATCCTGGAAAGCAATTCTATTTTCCACAGGTATGTAGACTTCTTAAGCTATTTTCTTTTACACATTTAGTAATAGCCTTTAATATGTATGTTGCGGTTACGTTAGCTGTTTTGCACATCACAAGGACGTTTAAAGCACTCGGTGTTTAAATACTGGTCGCAGCCTCTTCTAAGGCACTACCCTAGAAACTGTCCAATATTTAGAAGGTTTCTAAAGGTTGACCTGGTTTAGTTGCATTTGGACTAAATTTTGTAGCTTTTTCGTTAGCAAAATGCCATTCCGGAAGTTGTTAATGGTTATCGAAGTGATCGGATCTTCTCGATCTCATGTTCGGATGTACATTTATAACATCAAGCCGGCGAAGGACACTTACTGTCCTAATAGGGTCTTACAGTTTTCCTTTATTTTCACGGTTCTATCTACTGTTTTTATCAGTTGAAAGCACTTTTCATCTTTTAGTGGTTTTGTTGTAGTTTTCAGATGGTTTTTAAATTTTATTCTGCTTCTTCACGCAATCTCGACAGTAGAGTGAGTAGTTGGTAATTCGCTGATGTTTACGGGAACTACGGTAGCTGAACTAAGCAACCGTCCAGATTGAGGTGCTTAAGGGTCGTCGTACTTCTCGTTATTGATTGTCCATTATTTAGGAAGGAAGCACAGTAGTTCTACTTCATCACATTACTTTGATGTTTGAGCTTTGTTGCAAATACCCTTTTTTGCAGAGAATGATTTTATTAAAACGATACGAATTGAAACAGTGAAATGTTGCACAGATCATCGAGCATTACTGTTAAGTCGTATCCCAGATAACTAAACTCGTACATAAGGTATTTGTCGAGCAAAGTTGGACACCACCCAGTAAGTCTCCTATATGGCAATAGATGACATAATGAAGGTGTTTATGCCTATTAGTTCTCAGCTGGATTAGAAACCTTATTTATAACCCATCAAAAATCGCTCCTTACATGCTGTAGGATACGGGAGAGGTGAAAGACACACGAGTGTCATTGAAGCTGTCCATAGACAAAATCATTTTTTCATGGTAAGTGCGCTTTTAAGAGCAAGCCGTTCTGTTTTTTCACTTGTTAGAATGCAAATTTTGGCGCTGTCTGCTGTTCAAGGTATAGTTTTTAGGTAAATGCACCGATACAAATGTGTATGAGTATTTAAATATGTGCCTACCTTTACAAATATCTGAAGTTTAAACCAGTCTAATGCCGTTAATTTATCACCCTCTAGCAACTGTATTTTTATGCGTGTGGATTGCCAACTTTTCAAATGTTGTCTCACTGCATGTTTCATGGGCTTAAATAAAAATCATCTATCGTTGGCATTCCCAATTTCAACTTTTTTTGCTCAATACATCCGTATTGTTCAAAATCATTTTTAGATCATCCTTAACTCTGTAATCCATTCAACAGTTCTTCGATCTTCTGCACTATTTACGGGAGTCGCGGGTAACGCTGTAGTCGGAGGCGCCCTGCAATACACATGGGAGCGGTCTCCGCGCCCCAGGCGCACCAAGACCTCTATCCCTTCGGGCTCGGCAAATCGGTACCACGCTTGTCTGGGAGTATAGCAGCACTTGTTCATACATCGCTAGACCATCGCGAGTCATTGGAAAAGCCAGATATGCATTCAGTCACCTCCGACGATGTTTAATGAAATCGTTTGCACGGCGCATCTCTGAGGGATTGATCAACGCCGAGAGTTTTATCTTTTTTTGCACTGTTTATAGAATTTTTTTTGTGGCTCGTTAATTCTAGAATGGAGTCATACATCTGTGTGTGGTGTACGTAGATTTATTCTTCGTTTGTTCCATAGTTCTGATTCTGATGAAAGCAATCGTTGCAAACGTGGTGTAGCATGATGGTAAATAGCAGTAGCGGTAAAGTTAATGGGACTATTGTTGTATTGAGCAGTACCATTTAATGCCAACGAAAATCCACAAAGTTCGATCGTAGTGCAAATTCCATTACTCGCGATTTGTTTGTTCAAATCAAAACTATGGTGTACAGCAATCAAACTATCAGTACACATGCTTAGTACCAGTTTTCTCGTAATACGGTAAATATGAGTAAAATTTAAGGCAGAAAATACTATTCGATGGAGATTTGCTCAGGATGGAAGTGGAAATATTGTCAAAGAAAGTAATGCCAAGATCGTGAGGTGGAGTGACGGGAGGTATGTTCATTGTATTAAGGTCGACATGTATGTGTTAATGTTCTTTCGTAATTCTTCACGTTATCGACTCAAATGTGCTAATGTCCTGCGTTTGAGTATGTCGATGGTGATCGGAAAGGAGGTGTTTGATGTCGAATCTGTGCCTATACATGGCAACATGCAACACTTGTTTGTTCGCCAAGGGACTGGCCTTGTAGCTCAGAGGATATTTGACAGAAAACTTATTTTTCGTCCTCATTCAACTGATAGTGAGACACATAGAAAGGTATGATTCTATTCGTTTATACAATACTCCACGAAATTTTTTCTCGTCATTTCTCCTGAAGTATTTGCGTCCACTGCTTTAATGTTCACTAAAAAAATGTTTGAACAGGTCACTATGAATATGGCAGAAAGAACCAGGAAGAGCGGTCAAGTGCGCATGGTCGCTGAAGTTGGGTCTAATCCTGAACAAGCTCGAAGAGTGAGTTGCGCAGTACTCATTGTCTTAATTTTGTTTCATGCAGTTATTACCATTGTACATTCGTGTTACTAAAATTTAGGAAGCGGTTCGTCGGGAGGAAGAGGCACTAAGGGCAGCTATTCGTAAAGAGACACAGCAACGGCGAACGAAGGACCGTCATCGCCCACTTCCAAACTATCTCGAAGGACGAACTGAATACTCAGGTGTTGTAAATGGTACTTAGTTGGAGAAAAAGTGTTATTTTAAACAGTATTTGGATAAAAAAGATGGAAGGCCTTTAATTTTAGTGCGGTGTTGGCTGACTCTATTTGTTTTCTTATTTCTAATGGATTTAAGATGACGACGCAGATATAGCTCCGCGCGGCCGGAAGGGTCTGGAGGCTCCGTTGATAGGGGCAAGCGATTCCGAAGATAGTGATGCAGGTCGCCGTGGCACCATGAATGAGGCGGACGATTCTGACGAAGTAAGGACCTAGAATTAATCGACCTAAGCGGTAACATGGTGCTTCTTTCCCTACGCTTTTCTTGTATTAATCTCAGTTAACAAGTTCTACTTCGATCTAAAACTGCCTTTGCCTTAACTACCGGAAAAAAACTAAAAGTTATCTAGCGGTATATGTTTGTTGTTGCGTTTTGTAATTATAACAAGTTTATGGTGAAATGTATATAAATAAAAGTACTTGTTATCAAGTTTTTAGACAAAGCTAGAAATCGCCTGTTATTTTTTTCAGGAGTTCCGGAAAAAGAAGCAGCAACAGAAGAAGAAAATCGTAACAAGCGACGAAGAAAGCAACTAAGAATCGTAAACAGTTTGAGGTGTTCTCAAACGCTTTAGAAGAGAACGTTCCCCAGCCACTGGTAGGACTTGTGGTTCAAGCGCATCATGTGTATTTCAAACATTTTTAATTCGTGAATAATTGTTGTTGATTTTCGCTGCCGTGACTGAAATGTGTGCCAGTCTCTAACATTGTTATGAAATCTTTACAAAAACAAGCCATATTTAAGAACAACTTGTAAATTGCGAGTGAGAACATGAAGACATGAGTTGAGTACCCGAAAATATCCAGTGTTCGGAAGGTCTTTACCAGAATGAGTGAAAGAGACGATTGAATTCTAAAAACGATAGGTGAATGAAGTGAATGTACAGCCACTTAGTGATTTTGTGGTGAAGTTCATTTCCTTAATTGTTTGTCAGAAAAGCGACTTGTGTCGACGTCTCCGATTGGTTGTGTTTTAAATTTGCGTCACAAGAATTGGATAGCGGTATCATCTCTGCACACAGAAACGATACGGGAGCAGAAGTCGTCCCGTTGAGCTATTCCGATGAACTGCAGTGGCTTTTTTCGTTCTCGTATATGAATCTCAAGAGATTTCCGCGTCCCAGCAATAAGCCCTATTGTTCGAAAAGACTGAATCTAAACTGAATAAAATGATCTAGAATGTAATAGAACAGCGAAGTAGCTTTTATATAGATTGGATATTCTTTGTACCCTACCTTTTTCAAAGAAACAATATCGGCGAAAAGCATGGTTATTGATCCATGATCAGAAGTCGACTTTGGGCGGTAAATCAAAGCACTGAAGAGTGGAACTTAGACGAAGTGAAATTAATCATTATGTAAGTTAACATATTCTCAACGTGGGTCGAGGAAAGCGGCAATGCTCGCGTTGATTTGAATCACTTTGTCCCTGATTGTTCTTTTACTCATCAACATGTTGGTTTTTGACACGCTTTCTGTATTAAGTTGGTATCCCCGTATCACTATATACGGGTCCCAGCGTCCCAGGTTCGCCAAGTCTTCCATCCTTTCGAGGTCGGCAAATTGGTACCATACTTGTCTGGGAGGATAGCCGCACTGACTCGATACATCGGTAGGCCACCCTTAAGTCATTGTAAATGCCAGATATGCATTCATTCATCTTTAACGGTGCTTAATGAAGTCGAATTCCTGGCGCATCCCTCAGAGATTGACCTACGCCGTGAGCTTTATCCTTTATCCTTTATGCCATAGAATACCAAGGTTTGCATCAAGGCTCCAGAAGGAGTTTATATGATTCATTTCACTGATATTATGTCTTCGAGAACAGATCAATCCAACGTGCACGCGATCTTCCATGCATGGTCTACACCCTATATGTCGATTTCCTGGGATCGTTAATAATTTCTTATAGCCAACACAATGTCTCCTTTTTTGGTATTCGATCAACTTCTTCTTTGACAGAAATAATCGAAGGCGTTAGGAACAATATTTTAGCTTTAGTTTGAAGCTAACTCATGTATGGTCGAGTTTTTAAGTGCATTAATCGCACTTTTTTGATATACTCAGTACAGAAATAGTAATTCGATTGAAACTCAATTCATATGTTGCACCTTGGTCCTCGTCAGATCCACTTTCTGTAACTTTTTCTTGGACTAGAAGATACTCTTCATTGTCTTTAGTGCCCTCCGGTTCTTACTCATTCTCCATGAGCTTTCGATAAAAAATGTTGCTTAATTCGCCCTCCGTTGGCATGATCTTTTTTGTAACCCACCCGTCATCACATCTCTCCGGATCCCAGTTTTTTTTGCATGCGATTTGTTTTTCTCGCATTGGTCGTCCAAAAAGGTCTTCGAACATTTCGCGTGTTGTTTCGGTTGCTGCTTGAAAATTTGATTTTCTTTATCATTATCATAAATTGCTGGTCGAGTCGATTCCCCTTACAGTCTTGAGGACGGCCGAGTTAATGCATCCCCACATAGGAGAGCAATAGGGTGAGCGGGGAGGGGAGGGAAGAGGGTGGTGGGTGGACGGCGAACCAGCACCATGCTTCCTGATGGGTTGCACCACTAACCACGGCGCCAGCTCCACCCTATCCGCATGGTTCAGATATATTAAATTCATTTTTTCGGATATTAATTAATTGATCTCCTGTCTTCAACTCCAGTGTTAGATCGTGATCATGGGATGGTATGGATGGATACAAGGAGAAAAATGCCTTAATGTACTAAGTTTACTTTTTGAAGCCGACTATGAAAGGCTGAGACGGCATCTTGACAGATGATGAGCTTTTTCCTCTTTTATTTTTACCTCAACAAAGAGTTGCTTCAAAAAGCATGGAAGACGAAACATGTAGGTTACGTAAAACATAAGAAATGTGAGAATTAGTGAAAGATTTCGTTCTTTTTCTCAGTTTTATTTACATAACCCAGCACCACACCCATGCAGATATCAACACTTCTTTTATTCGATTCGTTTTCTCGCATTCACCATCCACGAAGCTCTTCCGATTTGCGGATAGATATGGCCGCTATTTAGTGATTTGGTTTTCTGCATGAATGCCAGTCGGATAAATTCTTCCTGGAGTCCTGGGACAACTGTGCTAGGGTGCTCGCAAGTCTTCACCAGAGATAGTCGCGTGACTTTGAGGTCCAGAGCGAGTTTTTCCAAAACAAGCCAGGTACTGACTTCCCAAATGGTCCACCGCATGCGCGTGTATGACATCTGTAACTATTGCGCTTCTTTTGCTCTACATAAAGGAATACATGTGAAACCTGAACTACACAGAGAAAAACAAAATAAGCATGGTTATTGCTTTGGTAGGCGAGTTACAACGTGTTATCTGGATTGTTTTTAATGGACACTTCGCAACGACGAAAAATTATCCAGCGGCCACCATAAATTAGCGATACTCGCGAATGTGTTGAAGAACCTCTACATAAGTTTCATCGATGATTCCAGCAATTTATATTCCAAGAGATATTCTATTTGGTGGCTTGGAGTGTTACCAAAAAAATGAAATGTTTACGTTTCTACCGTGAAGTGGTTTTCTAATACAGTAATGATGAAGCTATCCATAAATATCGAAGTACGGCGTGAAAACCATGTTCACGCCTGCGCAACATACTTGTTAGTGAGGTAGAGAATTCCAGACGAAATTCCTTTAGGGAAAGGTTTTTCTTTGTCGTTCATTACGCAACTGCGATCTGAAAACTGTACATTGGGATTTGTACTGGAGTGTTTTGATATCCTTTAACGCCTTCTTGGATGACCAACAAAATGAGCGGGATAATTTTTAAGCAGCTCTCCAGATCAGGGAAAATAGATGGTAGAGTCGCTAGGTCGCGAAAACCCGGATAACTGTAACATTCAGGTTAAGTCAAACAAAGTTACCGGACTGCCCTAATTTATCAAATTGTAGATAATGCTTGTGCTTTTTGAGGTTTTTTCTTTCGGGTCTATGAGCGAGCACTTCGGTGATGCCGAAAATAATCTAGCGACTTGGATTTTGTTTTATTCTGTAAGTTGTCGCTATTTGATGACCTGAACGTCTGTGCATATTCACGTGCTAAATAAAGCACGCCTTGTTTACATAATGTAGAACTTACATGCCGTAACGTTATCAACCATAGCATCATCATGTAATGGTTCATGTTCTTCGTCTCCTGAATACATTGACAGAGTCGGCGACTTTGTCAGTTTTTCTTCGTCCGCTTCGCGAGATCGCAGATCCCGCTGTGGTGCAGGATGTTTAGTCGCAAGTGGTGAGATGCCAATACGACTCGGTTTGTGGAGTACTGAGGCCATGGACGATTCTACGGAAAATGAGTCGGACGAGCTATTCATATGCCATTGAACTTCTGAGTTAATGAGTAAGTTGGGCTGCTCGTAGAGTTTCTCGCCAGATCCCTAAAAAGCTAAATAAATTACTATTACATTTTTTTTGGAACAAAAATAAAGGATAAAGGATAAAGTTTTCGGCGTTGATCAATCCCTGAGGGATGCGCCATGCATTCGGCTTTATTAAGTATCGTTAGAGGTGACTGAATGCATATCTGGCCTTTACAATGGCTCGCGGTGGCCTACCATTGTGTCGAGCCAGTGCTGCTATCCTCCCAGAGAGATCTGGTACCAATTTGCCGACCCCAGAGGGATGGAAGGCTTGGCAGGCCATGGGCGCGGGGATCGATTCCATGTCTGTGTCGCAGTGGCGCCTCCAACCACTGCGTCACACGCGCACCTTGGAACAAAAATAACAAGGCAAATAAAGTTTTGATAATATTAAAAATGAAAATAGAAATAATGTATGTGCACACCATATTAACGAACAGTGATAGTTTTTCTTCTGTACTATACATCCTAAATGAGGAATATGACTAATTGTCCTGATAGATTAAACAAGTTGAAGCTGTAAGTGAGCGTAGCAGCAATTTTGGATATGAATTCGAGTGTTCAAGGAAGGATAATTTTAAAACGATGTTAGTAAGAGTAATAATAACTTACAGCAGCAATAGGTTTCAACGAACTAAATATTTAATGCGTGCGTATAACCTGTGATGTAGGAGATCCTGACCCCATTAGTTGTATAGCAACTATTCCTTAAATACAATTTAACGTATTATTTACTGCCTACTCTTTTTAACGGCAGGGTGTACAGCTTAACTGGGTTCGTTGCCGATTTGGGCCCCCCAGATCCATACCGCTGAAGGGTGATTGCTGATGGCAAAAGATCGATAGAACTAACTGAGAGATAGGCGAAACGAAGGACCAGGGTGGTGTGGTGGTGAACGCGCTACTGCCCGGAAAGGACAATAGCGCGTTCGTTTCCCACCGCATACACCTGCGGTCCGGAGTTTTGCAAATATCTCAGCATCATTGAAGTTATTCCTTAAATAGTTCCTATTTTCTACAATATCACATGTGTCCTATATTAAGTATTTACTTATACCTATCTTAAATCTATCCATTCATAATGTATAAGTTTTAATACCGCTTCGATATGTAGCTTCGATAAAAGCCTCTGGTATACCGTCTCATTTGATGTACTTCTCCGCAGGACCTGGGTCAGCACTGTCTCTGAGTCTCTCCGTGAAGCGTCACGTTATTCCATCCCATTTACATGACCTTTTGATAAGTCTTTGCGTAGCCTTTCGGATAACCTTTATCCGCGAGCTATTCAAAGCTCCACCCACTACAGAAGTAATACAGGCAGCCCATGAGCATTCGTCTTCAAGTTCGTTCGGTCTTCATCCAGTCCCTCGGTTCTTCAGCGCTCCAGCTCTAGTGTCCGCTTAGTTTACTTCAGTTTTATCACTTGTTCTTATCTCAATCTCGCTCGTATGTATCCAGTTAACCACACTTCGTCACATATTACATATTATTGTTGTACTGTTGTTATTGCTGCTAATCCACTGGCCAACTAACACAAGTTGTGAAGCTAGCTGGTGTCCAGGTGGTGGACAGGGAGTTAAACGCGGATTAAAAATGCTACGTATTTCAGCTAAGATATATTTGCGTGTGTTCACACTCGTAGTCGTACAGATGTAGTTGATTGGGGCTCATACAACCCCACATTAGCACGATAACTTGGGAGTCTTCTGTGGTAGTTGTCCGTTGACGAATTTCGTATTTCCAGCTTTCTTAATACTATCCTGAAAGCGTTCAATGACCACATGGCACTAATCATCGGTGTTCTCAATAACAAAACTTCCCCAAAAGCGAGCGAAAAGTGCTAAAAATCCTACATTTGGAATGAGTTTCGATCCTCGTCGTTTTGGTTTGCGCCTTTATTTCTTTTCCTAGGTATAAGTTTACTTAGGTCGATTTTTACCTCTGCTTAGAGTAAGAGGTGCCTTACCTTATAATTGGTATAACTGGTGAGGTCTGGCGATGAGTGCTTTGGATTAAAATTCGGGACACTGAGACATGAGTTCAGAGTTTGCTGCGAGCCAGTGTTGACTAAATTGAAATTCGAACCGAGTCGGGACGTGAACACTCCAGTCAAATCTGGATTCCGGTGTAGTATAGGTGAACCCTGAAATTTCAGTTCTTTGTAAGTTTTTTCAAGGTCACTTGTTGTTGTCTTGTTCTCCTGTTCAAAGCCAAAACGTTTAATCCACTCGTTCAAGAACTGCCCAAAAATAACTGGTTTTGCTTAAAAGACATTATTATCAATTGCCTAGATATAAAAGTGCTAAGTTTGGTAAGAAGCTCTTTGGAAATTTGCCACTGATACTTGAACTTGATACTTGAATGGCCCGTCTTCACTGGTTGTGCGGGCCCCAGCATAATCTCTATTTTTCGGAGATTTGCTTTTTAAGCTATTGTAATTCGCTGGAATCCCGAGGTCAGCTTGGTCAAAGTCTCTCCCAGGTCTTCAACACCACAGGCAGTTGCAGCCTTTGTGGATCAGAGGGAGACTTGCCACCATGCGACTTGGATACCAGGATGGTGGTGGATCCTCGTATTGGTTTACTCTTAGCTAGGCTTCGTGATGGAAACGCCGGACTCCTTCTCAGCTCGGGAGACCGTGCCAAGGGTTGAATACACGCTGTACATCGCGGTCCTACACCCTGGAACACCTCCCAGCCACGGTGAGGCGGTAAACCGTTGTGTTTCAATTATCGAATTAAAATGCCACAGTTCTGATCAGACAAGTTGTGTATGAGCCTCACCACCGCCACCCTTCAGCAGCGCCTTTCATTTTGGAAAAGTCCCTACATAGGAACACTCTAATTCTATACCATTAGAAGTCTCTACCGAACGGTTTGCATAGTTTAACCTGTCACTTGTATTTCGTATGAGAGATTTACTGGCGAAGTGCGTTTTCTTTCTAGGCGGAACGAGGACTCATGAATGCCGTCAACAGCGCAATGGTCAATGCATGAAACAAAGGGCGCTAGTTCGAGCCCCTCCCTAACATCCTCCTCCAATACATATATATATATATATATATATATATATATATATACATATATATGTATATGTATAGAAAGGAAATATAGATCTATTATCAGTCATTTGTAGTCCTGTATGAGTAAGCCACCAGAGCTGCTCAGTAGGCTCTACTTACTCGATGATTGCAAAGATTCACAGAGTCAAGAAAACCACGCTATTGCCAAGAGATTTTGCATATCCATTGTTCGTTGCAAAGGTTGGCTCACCGAGCTGTACTATGGCACAGGTATTCTTTTTGCCAGGCTATTTTATAGAAATCTCGAAATATTCGATATCATAGGTACTGGTGTAGGTTAGACTCATGCTGTTCATTATAGGTTAACACCTGGAGATACCTCTCAGCTTTTGAATTGGTAGACCGTTGGTGGGCACCTTATAGTGTAAGAAGATGTACAATGATTAGATGCAAATCTGTATAGGTTCATACCCTTCATTTAATCTTGCATTGAAAATCTGACCATATGTTGGCTTGATCTGTTTGTAAGCTCATCCAACCCACTTCCGATAATGACAAAATGGTTTGTTCAGAGTTTGATTCGCTTAAAATTTTCCTTTATTTTTTCTGAGATCTAAGGATGTTGAACTCCTTTCGCGAATTCATCATAAAACGAATTCAACTTACTGTTTTAGAAGATACTGGATGTAGTGCTTCAGTGGAGATCTTCATAACTGGCAAGATGGCAGCTGTGGCCTTCACCGGTAGATTACGATAGAACCATCCATAAGTATCTAGTCGTTTCCTTAGACGAGGAAATCGATGGAACAAGTAGGTGGTGATGAAAATGCGAACTCCAAGAGTGATTCCTTTAAAGCGATTCAAATATTCAAGACTTTGAGTCGATCACTTTATAAGGAGATATTTCCACTTAGTTTTTAAGCTTTTACAATTCTTATGTTCGAATTTTTTTAGATCAATATGAACCAAGATAGGTGAGAAGTGGAGACTTCACGGAAAATTCGCAACAAACCCATACCGCACATTCCCAGACACGTTCCAGTGCTGAATATAAGCGAAAGAGTAAGCCAGTAAATGGTCAAGCAGTAGAATACGAACGTGACTCGGCGGTCCTTCCAGGTTAACAAACTGCTAATAGATCGTTTACAAATATGTGTAACATCATGAATTTTGATTAATTACATAGGAAATTGTTAAAATCAGGTTTTCATTCATGATTTGAACCTCACCAAACCCTACCAAATTTCTTATATTATAACTGTGATAATTTAATTATGCATTATATATTTTGTACTTTATATAAGGGACGCGTATGGCGCAGAAGTTGGAGGAGTCACAGCGAGACACACGTGGAATCGATCCCTGCAGTCATGGCCCATCAAGCCTTCCATCCCTCCGAATTCGGCAAATTGGCACCAGACTCGTCTGGGAGGATAGCAGCAATGGCTCGATACATCGGTAGGCCACCGCGAACCATTGTAAAGGCCAGATATGCATTCAGTCATCTCCAACGGTAATGAATTCGAATGCATAGCGCATGTCTCAGGAATTGATCAACGCCGAGAGCTTTATCCTTTTTTATTTTATAACAACCCACCTGAATTTTTTGCATTGAAATGTGGTAAAATACAGAAAAAAATAAATAGCTAGAATGGCTAAGGCATAACAATTTAATGGACTCGTTAGTAAAGAGTAATGAACTAGGGACGATTCTCTTGTGTAAGTCGTTATAACCCCATAGTTGTAAATTTTTTGTTTTCTTGAACACTTCTAGCATATCTTTCCACTATCCTTGACACCGTAGCCTTGCTATAGGTTAATGGTCTTCAAAAGGGTTCAAAATAGGAAACAGCTCAGACATTCCCTTTTATACCCGTTATCTTTTCTTTCTTTTTTTACCTTCTATATTTTTTTAGATATCTTTAGAAAAGTCCATAATAATTAAGTTAGACATAGATTCACCTGTGCAATTTTTCAAGGAAATTTGCAGCGAAATTGAGTAAATTCTGTGCGATTTTCGCAACGTCAAGGATCATTTGAGCTCCAGTGATATCAAATTTTGGCATGGCAACTTCTTTTCGTGGAAGAAAGTAAAGACCGATGTCGATGTTTCTGTAAGAAAGTAAGAACATGTTTCTGAACAACTATTCTAGCACACTTATACTGATTGTCACAAGTTTGCTTGTTTGCTACTTTCTCCATAGATTCCGGAAAATTGGTGCTGATGATCATGTAAATTTAAGAAATCGCTCTGACCCCTTGACTGTGTGGAGAAAATTGATTTACATACATAGTTAAGATGTTCACCTACCCATCGTCTATACTTGTAGATGGCTGAAAGAACGCGCGTGCGTGAAAACATTGACCGACTTCTTTCCGACGACTCCAAATCTGCATCTGATGCTTTCCGTTTCTTGCACTGTTTCCTATTCCAAACTACACTTTAATTTAATTTCAGCTTAATTAGGTTCAGTGCCTATTCGTGCTTCCCAGACCATTACTGTTAGCAATTAATTGCTGATAACGTCGTTAATGTAAAAAACTGGCTTAGACAAAAGGCTAAGCAAGGGCCTTGGTTGGTGCAGTGAATAACAGATGAGCACGGGGAAAGGTTTTTGGGGACGGAAGCTCACGTGATGCTTCGAATTTCGCTCAAATTTCAGCATCATTGTGGTTGTATTTCACATCATGCCTTGTCATGGAAAAATAAAACAGTAGGCGGCAATAGAAGTTAAACACTGTACTTTAGCTTGATTCAGTGCTCCAGTGTTCGTTTCTATCTGACCAAGAGCATTTCAGGAATTGAATCGACTTCACGTCCGTTCTTTTACATTTCGTCTTCTCTTCATTTCGTTGAGCTCTCTGAGCGTCGTTTGTGCTTCACGTGTAGTACCTTCCATTTATCGACTAGTAATTTCATATGGCTTGAATAAGAGCAAATGAAGTCCTATCCATACCGATCGCAATAGCAGAGTTGCCCAGTGGATTATGCCTTATCAGTGCATCAAAGCAGTACTGTATTTTCCATTCATCGATCATCCTGTTGTGCACCTAACATCTCGTGTAATCCTATTTCATGTGTTTTATTGCTGTTGCATAATGTTCCCATCTCAGCTTGTATTTGAAGTCCTTGTTTATGAGACATTCTTAGTTTCTGTCTCTTATCAGTTTTGAGGTCAAAATAACTTCTCACATTTGATTAAAGCAAGAAACTTCCATTGCCATTATCTGAATAGCTTTCGCAAAACACACCGCCTTTTTATCTTGTTTAAATAACGTTCAAATTTCCCACGTATACGTTAATACAAGAACCATGGGAGAACCGTAGAGTCTAGGATTTGGGTGCGGATGATAGAGGAGTTTCATTCATATGGATAAGTGAACATTTTTTCTTTGAGATACGTAGGCAGCATAAAGTAACTAAGCATTCCACCATAACTATTTACCACCTCATCGTAGTGAAGGGTGATGTCGAATTACAATGTAGAGCAGAAAGGTGATTCGCTAGTATGCTTTCCTAAATTGACATTGATTTTGCTACGTTCTCTCGGAAGTTCATTTAGTAATAAGTTTATATCAGAAATTGCCACCCCTTAGAGGAATCTCAGTCGCTAGATGATGAACCTCAATTCAACTAGGCTCAGACAACCTGTGGAAAAGATCTGGTACAACCAACACGGCCTTCAGAGAAAAATCTTGCTTGAGGAGCAAAATATAAATCAAATGAAAATCAAGTGGAAACTATCATAGAGCATAATCATTTCACACTGCTTGATGGAGTCATATGCATGTTGTATTAAAGCCAAGCGCTTTGTCCTTTTATTTGTCATGTTTCCTCGGGTTATTCTTTAGCACTTACTTTGTGGCTTTGAGGTAGTTGAGAGAAAGCTGAGTCCAAAGAAGAAGCAAAATGAGCGAAGCCAGCCAACCTCGCGCAATAGCGTACGTGTACACCTGTATAAACGAGCTTTGTCTTTCAATGAATTTATCCCTTACATGTAGATGTCACTTTTGTTTACTCTAATTATAATGAATATGCAACATGGAAGGAAAGAATTCCAGATGTATCTGAGAATTCAATGCGTACAGTAAACGTACCAAAGCGAGCAAAAGTGTATGAATGGGGTTCTTCCAAAGAAGAGAATCGTATAACGCAGCAGCTACTTCAATAACTGGATGAAGGAAAATATCTGGAAGCAAAAACACTAAATAATCATGATTTATTAACCATATCTGTTTACTAGGGGGCGTGTGGCGCAGTGGATGGAGGCGCCACTGCGACACATACGTGGAATCGAGCCCCGCCCCCATGGCCCACCAAGCCTTCCATCCTTCCGGAGTCAGCAAATTGGTACCAAACCCGTCTGAGAGATTAACAGCACTGGCTCGATACATCGGTAGGCCACCGCGAGCCATTGTAAAGGCCAGATATGCATTCCGTCACCTCCAACGATACTTAATGAAGTCGAACGCATGGCCCATCCCTCAGGGATTGATCAACGCCGAGAGGTTTATCCTTTATCTGTTTATTAAAGAAGCCGAACTCACAACTAAAATCAGAATACCGAAACTGTTTCAACCTATGCTTACAGCATCGTTTGAGATCTCTGTGAAGTGCAGTGGCAGACAGTCTCTGATTATCAACTTTGGGCTGCTTCGGCTCTTCCCACGGCGTTTCAAACGCCTCGGCAATGTCATAAAGAAACCACTTCATCTCGTTGGACATCTTGTTCCACAATGAATTTTCAGCTCTGGTTCCTGAAAAAGAGAGAATCGTTCGGTACAAAAAGCAATGAGGGAACAATTATACACTTGGACGTGGACATTTTGGAAATGTCCACTTACATCAGCAACTTAGTAACGTCTACCGACTTCAAGGTTAGACCCATTATCAGCTGTGTAGGCGGGCTCACGGATACGATAGCTTGGTTTATAAAGTTAATAATCATCCAGTTGCTCAGACATATTCCAGTTCAACTCATGAACACTCTAATTTCCCTAGAACGTCTACGCAACGCGTCTCCTAACAACGCCTGCGTGATGAAGTCGTTCGACGTTACTACGCTTTACGCCAACGTATGAAATGACTCCGCAATGCAGGCCATCCACGACCTCCATATTCAATACGATGGAAAAATATGCGTAGCTCATCTATTCAGCAGCTCCTTTTAAACAGCCCTCTTAAAGGATTGCCTGAAATCTTTAAATGTTTCGGGAAGTATTTCCCACAAATGAGAGAGTTGGCAAAGGGACAGAAAGTGGCCCCAGGTCTTGACATTGCGTTCATATCTGATTGAAGCAACCTATTCACTCTCTGGCCATTACTCACTTATAGGTATATCCATGACTGTTTTTTCATTTGCTCAACACAAGAAGAGATGGTTCCCAAGATCGACTTTCTCTTAACCTCGGCATTGGAATATGAATGTGTCGTTTTCTTGTTCAGCAATCGCGAGGTTTTTAAACAGCATACATTTACTTCCATAAAAACACAATACAATACAACGCTAGCTGACGTTTCGGCAGTATCGCCTTCTTCAGAGCCTGGAAGGGTATACTGATATACAATCTACTAGGCCAAACGCTTCAATAACACTTACACAAAGACGAAAGACTCTTTGGTAATTACACGATCAACAACTTCTCGAAAAACTCACCGCTTTTTCGTGACTTCCAATGAGGAAGTTTAGAACAGCTGATTATAGTCGCATGTGGTTGACGACTGCACCATCCCACATCAAAAATCGATGCGAACGTACGGGATCAGGTCGCGTATGATCTCCGGGCATTCGTTCCTGCTATTCATTGTAGGGTTTTTGGCATTGATCCAAAAAGCCTCTAGGAGTTTTCGCGCTGGTGTTTTGGACTCCTGTG